ATAATATCAATTTTTTCTATCACTATAAAATTATTTTCTATAACAAGTGCCTAATTTGCTACTAAGAGCATTAGTGACAAGGGTTTTACTAACGATTTAAATTTTATCACTAATAATAATTTGTGACGAAAAATAAAAATTTAATGATCAATAATTTTGTCACAAAATGTGGATTTTCTTGTAGTGACACCGTATGAGGGTGTCCCATTATCTCTTGGAGGACGATGGGCATAATGTAAGAAATTATAGAATGTGGAGGGACAATTGGATTTCATTCATACAAGTCTTGCCCCTTGTCCTCCAGAATTGGTTTCTATCAGGGCTAACAAAGATCAGAGGATAAGTGTGCTAATAGAGGAGCAGACTGGTAAATGGCGGGACGATGTTGTTCCGAGCAGGTTCAGTCCACAGGAGTGGAGAGTATTTTAAGTATTCTGTTACGTAAACATTGTGTTGCGGATAGGTTGACTTGGAATGAAACCAATAATGGCAAATTTACAGTTAAATCAGTTTATCCTTATGTGTGAACATTACTTTTGATAATCGGTGCTGTGAGTATACAAAAGTGATGAAACGGGCTGTCTTACGGTTACACACAACTTTGTTAAAGTCACACAATTTGCTAGTTATTTTATCAGTTTGTAACCTTTTTTTCTCCCATGGAAAGCTATTAATACACTTTTTGATTTGACACGTCTTTTAACATTAATCTAGTTTAGTAATTAAATATAACATAAATACAACAATAATTAAAATATAATATAAGTACTACAATACTATCTGAAAATAGTGCATGTGAACTTCAATAAAAGACTTACATTTAACATAAAACTAATTGACAATAGATTTAATATCTTTATTAGTACTTAACCCATATGTTTCTTTATTTTATCTTCAATGTGAGATTTTTCTACCAAACACACCCCTTTACGTACATGTTCAATATGATTATGTTTTTAAACTCAAACCAGAGTTCAGCCCATTTTGATTAGACCAATTAAATTAGTTAAACTGTACAATTTGATTGAATGATAATTTTTTATTCTTATATGTAATAAATAAATGTTATGCAAAACAAATACAACAACACCTGTTGGCTAGATGGTAAGGGTACTTTTCAATGATTGATGAGTTGAGAGGTCGAGACACTTTGGTATCAATTTTATTCCTTTATATCACTTGAATTTCAAAATTGAAGGTAAGAGTTTGAACCCCAGCAACATCTTACTACCATTTCTCCTCAAAACAATGAACTGGTTGGTTCATGACTCGTTGATTTTTTTGGGTTTACCAGGCCTTATTGGTTTTATACAAGTTAACTCTACAAGCAAGTTGAAGTCATTGCTTGAACTGAATTTATAGCCAAATATGTTTCAATTGGTTTGATCGATTGGGTCAGCCTAGATTTAAAAACACTACGACATTAACATTGAATCTTGTCACATGACTTAATACGCCCTTTTAGACACAAGTTTGGTATGAATATTGAAAGTGTATTAAGTGGAAAAATCACACATGGAAAATATAACAAAGTACATGGATTAACACAAGGAAGGTTACTTCAATTATTATTAATTAGTTTTAGATTGAATACAAGTCTTTTGTTGAAACCCACATATTAATTTTCACACTATATCAAAACCTAATTTTTGTTCTTGAGAGGCCCATTGTTAGCCCACTTAATAGGATTTGAGTGTAAGGAGCATATGAAGTCATTGTCATGTAACAAGATCCAAAAATCATATCGAACTTATATGTAAGGGGGCGTGTTAAGTGAGAAAATTAATATAAGGAGGGTTGCGTCACTTATTGTTAATTAGTTTTAAATTTGATGCAAACTTTGTATTGAAGCTCCACATGTCAATTTTTACACATAACTACATCTTTAAGTTTTTCTACCTTTAATTTTAGATTAAGAAATTTTGATTTTTAAATAAGTATTATATAATGTATTGAACTAAATGGTGTACTGTAAACCAATCACTGTCATTTTAAATAATTGGTTTGATACCTAAAAACATTTGTTTATAAACTAATTTTAATTTTTTAGATATAAATATTAACTATTTTGTCAACTATTAATTGTTTTTAATTATCAATTTAAAATAAAATTTTCACAATTTATATAGTCATGACAAATTTAAGTGCTGTTATAACATAGCATGATAAGACCTACAAGGAGTAAAGAGGGTGAAATCATAAAATAACTGATCCTCTTAGAAGAGGAAGAAAGAAAAGGATCAAATCATATAGGATAATGATGTGTGCACACCTGGATCCCACACCCGGGTGTGCACACCTCCACATAAAAAAAAAAAAAAAAAATCCAACACCCGGTCCAATTTTTTTTTTTGTATGTGGAGGGGTGCACACCCGGGTGTGGGATCCGGGTGTGCACCTATTATGATCCAATCATATAATAACTTATTTGATTATAGAAAAAAAGAATATCACATCATTATTAAAATTGATTAATTAATAAAAAAAAATTAATTTGTCAATTGATTGATTTCAAAAATGTGATATTGATTATAATATCATCAATAAGAAAATTTTAATTAATTATTATTATTTTATATTATATATCCCTCATCTTATAAATAAAATTACACACGTAAAAAATAAATAAAAAAGTGAACTTACAAAGCTACGTAGGCTTTTGTATTGTGAACTAAAGGGACCCTGAACACTTAATGCATCCTAACAGTATTTTAAACCATGTAATATTATATCTTCTACTCTCTCTCACCTTTTTTTTTTTCTATTCTCTCTCACTTATTTTTTTGTTTTATTTATTTTATTATTTTATTATTATGAAATCCTCCTACTATTAGAGATTCAATCGCTTTATTAGAAACTTGTTTCATGGAGAGCTGCGTGGAAAGTCAGAAATAATGGCACTTTGGACCACAAAGATGCCATCAGTTTATTTCATTATTATTAGAAGGTACACTAATGACTATACTGCATCATCTAGTGTCCCACTTCCTTATACATTTTTCACTATGGAAGCACTATATCCATTCTTATCATCATAGTACTTGGACCATAGCATAACCCCACCGTACTTAGCTGAATTTTTTATCACCGGAATTATCTGCGAAGTCAGCACATTTGCTGGAATATAACCACTTCCAGCCGCTTCTGGTGCTGCCGGCAGCCCCAAAAATATCTTCCCTGCATTTATTGACGATGTCCACTGGTTCCATGAACTAACAATTTTGTTGATGTTACCCGAACTGTACTGGCATGGTGGATTGTTGTAGAATTGAACCCAAACGTAGTCGAAAAGTCCGGTGTTAAGGGAAGTCCCCAAGAAACTGTCCGGAAATGGGCATTGTGGGGCTGCTGTTAAATATACCTTCCTTCCTCGACTGCTATAGGCGGAGAGGTAGCGAGCGAGGTCGTCATAGAACCCAGTTGATCCCAGCTCGATGTCGAAGTCAATACCATCCAAAACAGCGTCACCTAAAGGACGGGACGACGATTGCCCACCCAAGTAGTTGTTCCAGAGGTAATCTGCCACGTTCTTTGCGTCTGCCTTTGATGATAGAGAGTAGCTTCCGACACCACCTCCGATGGAGAGCATCACTTTGATTCCTCGACTTTGGCAGCTTCTGATGCCGTTGCTGACTGCTCTGCAGCCACCGGATGCGGGGCTGCAGTGGCCAGCCAAGTTGAGCTCAGGGGTTTGGCCATTGCCAAATTTGATAAGGAAGGCTATGTTAACGTAGGAGTATCTGCCAGTGTCACAGGTTTGGGTCAAGGTTCCTTCGTTTCCATTTTGGCCCCAGTAGATGGCTATGCCACCACCATGGGAGGTTCCAATGAGGGCTAGGGAGAGGGTAAGAAGCATGGTAATGGCTTGAGGTTTTGCAGCCATTTTTGGGTTGAGATCCATTCCCTTCATTGTTTTGGTTTTTATAGTGGATTTGAGGGCCCTTCAATCACGCCACAAAATTATATTACCTCACGTCCTTATTATTTGTGGCGCCGAGTAGCTCGATTTTATTTAATTAATTGACAACTTTTTATAGGGCTTAATACAATTTTTAGTCTATTAATTATCAAATTAATTTTATTTTAGTTTAAAAAGTTTATTTTTTTTCCAAATGGCCTATAAACTTTGGAAAATATTTCTAAATAGTTTACTGTATAAAATTTTGTTAGATTTAATAGAAAGAGTAATCATTTAAGTTTTGAAAAAATGACATTATAATCTTAATAAAATATGATAATTCAAAAAATATTTTATAGCAAAATATTTTATAGAGATAGATTAGTTAAAATTTATAATAAACTTGAGCAACTAGTTCAATTCAAATAGAGAAACTTAATAAGTTTAGAATGAAAAGTTTTAATAGTATGTTTGTTTTACATGATAAATTATATATAATATGTTTTGTAAAATTATCTAAACATCTTTGAAAAAATAATATAAAAATAAAATTAAAAATATTTAAATAATTTTAAAGAACAGACCACATATAGTCCATTTTATAAAACAATTTTCTGGAGAACACATTTAGTAAGATAAGAATAAAAACTATTTTTATAGTAAATATAAATTTAAGAACTAAAAAATAAAAAAATATATAGTTAGAGGACTAAAAATTTTTTTAGAATAAGAAGATTATGTTAAAAATAACTGATATTTCCGTTAAAGATAACGGATTAGATGAAATTATAATAAATGTGAAAAATAATAAACATGATTAAAAAATTTAAAAATAATAGATGAAACTGAAAATAATATAAAAGGTAATAGCTGATTTGTTAAATTAATCATTTTTTATGATAAAAAAATAATAATTGAAATTTTATTTTATGAAAGTAAAAATTCAACAAGCACCAAGTACAAGAAGAAAAAAAATTCAACAATTATATATATTTACAGTATAAAATTGTTAAGTCAAATTTTAGGTAAAAATCAAAATGTAATAACCAAAATGAATTGGAGTATAAAATTATTTAAATAACTT